ATAACAAAATGTAAAAAAGGTGTCTGTCAAAGACCAATCAGGCAGCTAGGGACAAGTTCCCTCTCTGGTCCGAGCCTAAGCCGGGACCAATCAGCAGGAGAACACAGCCAAATCTATAATTTACATACGGGGAAGTGGGAACCTATAAAACTGACATATTCACGCCCAAAAGGGTTCCTTCTTCGACCTCCTGCGTGAGGACCAAGGAACCCCGGTGCACCGGCCTTCAATAAACCTCTTGCGTTTTGCATCGGCTTCCGACTCTTGTTGTTTCCTGGGCGAGTCGAAACTCCTAGGAGACCGCGAAGGTCTAACAAGACAATCAGCAGGAAGGCCAAGCATAGCTGGCGTCCCTATGCCCCCTCTCACTCTGCAGCGTGTCAGCAACTGGCGGAGCAGCGCTGCAGGTGACACCAGCGCGTTATTTCTCCTGTGAGCTTGGTAGGAGACAGTGGCTTAAATCCAGACAGCAGATTCACTTTGATATCCTTGGGTGCTCAAATGTTCTGGTTTTGTAAGCAGATAAATGTAGCTTAGTCTTGTCTTCAATAAAAAACAATAGTAATACACTGGCTACAAGATTACCGAGTACTCACCCAGGAACTGTTAGTGCTTTAAATGTTTCGTATCAATGAGTCATCACAACATCTCTATTACGTAGGTATAATTATCATCCCCATTTTATAGATGAGTAAATCAAGGCCAAAGTTAAATCACTTGCTCACATTCTCACTGATAAAGGAGAGAGAGATTCACCGCTACTGTGCTCTGCATCCTTTCATTTCTTAATCAAATTCTGGTATAATCGACTTTTTCCCCAAACCAGTGTCAAAAACTCGAGTGGGGCGGCCATGTGGGATTCATGTGTCTGGTTTTACATAAAGAGCCTTGTCCCAGTTGAGGAATGACAGAGGCTTCTCTCCTTGCAGTGTGAAGCTCACCTTGGCCATGTGTTTCCTGATGGACCTGGGCCTACTGGTCAGAGGTTTTGCATCAACAGTGTGGCACTCAAGTTCAAACCAAGCAGACACTGACTACCTCCAAGAGTGCCCTTCCCTCGCCACTCCCTCATTTCCAAACTCAATTTTCATAATTTATGTGAGTAGCTAGTTTTATTACCTACTAAACCAGGCTAAGTTTGCTGCTATCACCAAGCAAGTCACACCTTCTCTAACTTACTACCTGGAGTCAGCCAACCCTGGCTCTGGCTTTGATTGGAATTTCACAAAATGACAGAGGGGCAACCATTTCCATTAAATCGACTTCGGTGGGCTTTGCTTGGACCAGAGGGCATGACTCTTTGGGGACATTTGGAGGCTGATGGACAAACCAAAGAATTCCTACAAAACCACCCTGAACATTCCATTGCAGTTAAGTTCTTCATGGACATATATAGGTGAGAGATCGAGTGAAAAGAGGAAAGAAAATATGGGGTTAGACTAATTCACAGTCCCAGCATGGAAAGAAGCAACGAGGAGGAGGATTGTGGATGAGCCGTGCTTTGGGGGATCCACGGAATGCACGATATTTTTTTCAAAACTTTAGACTGTCTTGAACTTTCCAGTTCCAGCTTCTCTACGGGCAACTTAAAGTTTCGATGGGAGTTTGCTAGATTTCAGTGATGATGAATACAAGTAGCTACAAAGTTAAACTTTAATTTAGTTCAAATAAAATATTTACTAAAATCTGTTTGCTTTTTGTCTAAGTCTGTGAATTTGCTCTTTTATAAAAATGACTAAATCAAATGCCAAAAAATAATTAGGTCATGTGGTAGTAGGTGTTTGGTTACACCAATGCTGATAGCAACTCAAGTGTTTTTTTTACACGTTGAGAGTCTTGAATAATTTGTTACTGAAAGTGTTTAAATCATTTTCTTTGAGACTTTATGGACAGAAAGGAGACTTAAGTATTCTATTTTTATTACTGAGTTATGCATTATGAACTCTTCTTCTAGTGCTTACCCTGGAAATCACAACATCCATCCTTAATTTATTACAGTCATACTAAAATTATTAATTTTTTCTACTTTTCCAAGAATGTTAACCTTAGAACACTTTAACTTCATTAACATTCTCCCATATTTTGTGTTACTATTGTCATGTATTTAATTTAATTTTATACACATATAAACCCCACAAATCATTGTTAGTGTATATGTTGATATTCATTTATCTTTACCTACATATTTGCTGTTTCTTTTGCTCTTTATTTCTTCCTGAAATCCCATGTTTCCTTGTGGGATTTTTTTTTTCTTCTGCTTGAAGAACTCTTTTGCTTTTAGTGCATGATTTCTCATGGTGAATCTTCTCAGTTTCTATTGGTAAGAAAATGTATTTATTCGCCTTTCATTTTTTTTACGCTTTATTGAGGTACAATTGATATATTTAAAAATTGCACATATTTAATGTATACCTTTGGGTCTCCTTTTATTTTTGAAGAATCCTTTTCCCTGGACGTAGAATTCTAATTTGGAGAAATTTTATTTGGACATTTTACAGTTTCATTCAATTGTCTTATGGCTTCTATAGTTTCTCCTGAGAAATCAGCTGTCAGTGCAATTGTTGCTCCTCTGAAGGTAATGTGTTCCCCTCCCCCACAACTGTTTTTATGATTTTCTCTTTTTATTTGATTTTCAGCAGTTTGTAATGTGCCCTGGTGTGGTTGTCTTTGTATTTATTGTGCTTGGGGTTCACAGAGCTCTTTGAATCTTAGGTTGATACTTCCATCAGTTTTGTTATTATCTCTTTCTTTTTCTCCCTAGACTCTCTCCTTTTGAATTACACAAATTTTAGACCATTAATTGCATCCCACATATCTCTAAGGCTCTTTTCTGTATCTTCCCGTTCTTTTAAATATCTGTATTTCTATGTGGATATTTTCTGTCAACCTCTTCTCTAATTTACTAGCCTTATCCTTTTGCTTGTCTAGTCTGCTGTTAAACACATCTTATGCATTCTTAATTTTAAGTGTTGTACTTTTGTAGTCCTAAAATAACCATTTGATTCTTTTTTATGGATTCCAGTTCTCTGTTAAAGTTCTCCGTCTTCAACAGGCAAAAAGAAAATTCTATGAGGCCTTTCCTCCTGAAACAGTTTGAACTTTTAATCTCTGCTCACAAAACTGATGAAAAACAGTGCTCTGCATTTCAGAGGCTTTCCACTTAGGGTTTTAGCACCCTGACCTACACAGATCCCATATTCATCTAATGTGCTAAGATGAAAACTAGCCATTTACTTAGGGTCCCCAAGTCTCTGTTATAAATGCTCTGCTCATTTCTGTGTCCCCTAGTAGATGCCCTTTGTGGGTACAAAGCCTAAATTCTCAGGCTCTTGGCAGAGTTTAGAATTGGCAAATGATCCCAGGATAAAAGGAGCTCTGTGGGGTTCTTCCCTCTCTGGAGTTGTGGCAGACAGAATAATGGCTCCCCAGAGATGTCCATATCCTAATCCCCAGACCTGTAAATACATTACTTTCATGGTAAAAGGGTCTTTGCAGATGTGAATGAATTAAAGACCTGATACAGGGAGATAGATTATCCTGGATTCTCTGGATGGGTCCATTCTAATCACATGAGTCTTTAGAAGTAAACCTTTCCTGGCTGGGGTCAGGGAGAGATGTGATGATGGAAGAAGGGTCGGAGAGATGCCACATTGCTGGCTTTGAAGATGCAAGTAGGTAGGACCATGAGCCCAAGAATGTGAATAGCTTCTAGGAGCTGGAAAAGGCAAGAAAATGGATTCTCCCCTAGAGCCTCAGAAAGGAACACAGCCCTGCCGACATCTTCTTTATCCCAGCGAGACTCTTCTCAGACTTCCATGTGACCGCAAGGTAATAAATGTTGTCTTAAGCCACCCAGATTGTGGTTGGTTGTTCACAGCAGCAATAGAAAACTAGTACAGGAACCTTAGCCCCTTTATTTCTTGTTACCTCAGAACCTTTCTGTTGTCTACAGAGATAATAATTTGTAATTACTTAATAATTTATAAATTAATAAATGTAACACATATTTATAAATTAATAAATAATTTCTGTATTTTGCCTAGCTCTCGTTGTCCCGGATGGGAGTGCTGGTATGCTGCTAGCTATCCATTGCTCCTGGATAATAGCTCACGGTTTTAGTATCCGAAGGCTTTTAACTTTGCCCTCACAAATGTCCCTGTGAGGAAGACAAAGACAGTATGTTTTTTTGCTATTTTGTATTTGGAGTGGAAGCTCAGGAAGGTTGAGTGAATTATTCCAAATCAGATAATGCTTAAGAAGCCAAGTCAAGCCTACAACACAGGTCTCTAGACAACACGGCCAGTCCTCCTTTCATTATTATAATGTCTGTGACCCACAATCAGAATCAAGAACTCCTATATTTTATATTATTTACATACAGTTACTTTAAGTGAAAAATTTGCTGAATGTTAATAATTTCAAACAATCATGTAACCTCTACCACAATCAAGATACAGAACAATTCCCTTACCCTAAAATGAATTAATCCCTCCCCCACCCTGACCCCAGCCAACTACTGGTATTTCTGTCACTAGAGCATTGCCTTGTCTAGCCTTCTATATAAATGGAAATATATAGCATGCAGCCGTTTGTATTTGAAGCGTTTCACTTGGCCTAACAGTTTTAAGATTCATCCATGTTATACTGTGATTTGTTCCTTTTTGTTGCTGAGCAGTATACCATAGTCTATCCATGGGTAAACAATTTATCTATTCACCAACTAACAGACATTTGGGTTGCTTCCACTTTTGGCTGTTACAAATAGTGCTGCTATGAACATTTACATACACACTGTTGTGTAGACTTACGTTTTGATTTCTCTGGGAGTGAAATATATATTTAACTTCATAAGGTACTGTGTATGTTTTCCAAAGTGGCTGTTCTATTTTGTATTCCCAACAGCAACAAATGAACATCCAGTTACTCCACATCCTTGTCAACACTTCCTCTTTTTTTCCCCTACAGATGGCCAGTTGCCCCAGCACCATTTGTTGGAGACTTTCTTGAACGTCCTTGACATTTTTACAAAAATTAATTTACCATATACGTGTGGGTCTATTTCTGGACCCTCTGTTCCATTGATATGTCTATCCTTATGGCATTACGTTGATTAATAATTGCTTTATAGCAAGTCGTAAAATCAGATCAATATGGGTTTCCAGCTTTGTTCTTCTTCAAAATTGTTTTGGCTATGCTGTTTCTTTTGCATTTCCATATAAATTTTTAAATTATCTTGAATTATATTAGATCAGTTAGGGGAGATTGACCTCATAATAATGTTTGGTCCCCCAATCCATGAGCCTGGTATATCCCTCCATTTATTTAAGTCTTCTTTAATTTTTCTTTAAATATTTTTTAGCTTTAAGTGTGTGATTCTTATTTTGTTAAATTTATCCCAAAGTATTTTAATTTTCTTAATGCTATTACAAATTGAGTTGTTTAAATTGTTTCTTGGTGTTATATAGAAATACAATTAGCTTTTGTGTTTTGACCTTGTATACTGCAACCTTGCTAAATTGACTTTCTTAGCTTTTCTCTGAATTCCCTAGAGTTTTCTGCATTCACAATCATATTGTCAACAAACAAGACAGTTTTACTTCTTCCTTTCCAATCTGCCTTTTATTTCTTTTTCGGCTTTATTCACCACCTGGGCCTTACAGTACAAAGTTAAATCAACATAGTGAGAGTGGGTATCTTTGCTTTGCCTTGTTTCTAATTTTAGATAGAAAACATGAAATCTTTCACCATTGAATATAATGTTAGCTGTAGATTTTTCATAGATGACATTAATCAGATGAGGAAGACTCCTATTCCTAGTTGCTGAGAGATTTTATCATGAGTGTTGATTTTTATCAGATTTTTTTCTGCATCTATTGAAATAATTAGGTGGTTCTCCTATATTTTATTAATGTGGTGAATTACATTGGTTGATTTTCTAATGTTAAACCAACCTTGCGTTCTGAGATGAACCTTACTTGAACATGATGTATAGTAGTATCCTTTTTGAATCCTGTTGGGTTTTATTTTCTAATATCTTGTTGAGAATTTTTGCATCTCTGTTCATGAGTGATATTGCTCCGCATTTCCCTTGTGATGTCTTTGATTTTGTAATCAAGGTAATGTTAGCATCATAAAATGAGCTGGGAAATGCTCCCTCTTCTATTTTCTGAAAAAGTCATTTTCAGACTGGTATTATTTCTTCCTTAAATGTTTGATGGAATTTACCAGTGAAGCCATCTGGATCTGAAGTTTTCTATGTGGGGAGGTTCTTAATTGTGGATTCAAGTTCCTTAATTTATATAGGTCTGTCAAGTTTTCTTAAGCCAGTTTTGGTAAATTGTTTCTTTTAAGGAATGTGTTTATTTCATCTAGATTGTCACACTTGTAGGCATTAGATTGTTCATAATAGTCTCTTATTATCCTTTTAGTGTCTGAAGGGCATGTGGTGAGGCTCCTTCTTTCATTCCTAATACTGGGAATTTGTGTCTTCCGTTTTCTTGATCACTCTAGCTAGAAGTTTTTTAATTTTCTTGGATTTATTTCAAAGGGTAGGTTTTGGGTTTACTGATTTTCTCTGTTATTTTCTGTTTTCAGTTTTATTGATTTCTACTCTTTATTCTTTTGTTTGCTTTGGGTATAATTTATTCTTTTTGTAGTTTCTTAAAGTAGAAGCTTAGATCATTGAGT